AAGAAGTGTCTGAGGCTATGGATGCAGGATGGAAGGCAAGTGTTTCAGTGATGCCTTGTTGAAGGGCCTGTGACAGACCTAGGCTGCAAATCTTTTGCTCTATATCTTTTAAAAAATTAGAAAAATTCCTACTGTGCGAAGAGAGGAGAGTGATTCTGAAGTCAAGATGGATAAAACCATGGACACAGCGTTTGAGAAGAAAACTTTGTTTGCTACATGTCTTTATTTTCTGTTCCAATGGCAGGAAAAGTCATGGAAATGGCCCAGAAGAATGTCCTGAATCTGAACATGAAGCCAAACCGAGGAGCAAAGAATCTACCTCTGAGGGACACCAAGTCCTGACCAGGAGCAGGGACAGCACAAACGACCCAGATGACATCACATCTAAGAAAGTATGTAGATGACAGCAGAGGAACCATCAGGACAAAGTTATTATTATTAATGTAATTATTATTATGGATATTTTTATGCCAGTAATGTTCCAAGGGTAGCTTTGGATCAATTTTTGCCAGCAAGTGAAGTCCTGGCAAATTTGCTTATTGATCATAAGTGGTGGTATTTAAATCCTGCCTGGTTTGATTCAGATCTCTCATCCCACAGACTTGTCTCCATTAGGTCACTGGGGATGGATGTGCCTGGAACAAGCATACAGGGCTGATAAAGATTTCCTTGCATGGCCAGCTCCTGTGCAGTGACTGACTCTCCATCTAACACTCAGATCTAGTCTCAAAATCTGCAAAGTTAATTACAGCTCGCAGCCTAAATAAGAATATATTTTTTACTCTAAGAACTGGCAGCAGTTTCTGCACATTCCAGTGTCCAGTTAATTCCATGCATGCAGGGAATAGGGTAGGTTGGACAAAGCTGAGCTGTGACAGAAGTACAGAGCTTGGAAGGGCAATTGAGCAGCTTTGCAGAGTTAGGTGGGCTTTCTCCCCTGTAGAAACCAGCCATGCTCCACCTCAGGTAATGCCAATCTGCCTTCCTGGAGCTCCTCCTGCTGTGCATGTGGTGATGTCCTTCATTGCCCCCTGTCTGACTGTTGCTCCTGCCCAGCTTCCAAAGAACTGGTGATGGTCTCCTCCCACTGCGATCTCCAGGCCTTTCTCCATATCAACATTTCCCTGTCAAACAGACTCCTCTCCTTGCTCTGCTTGCCCAGGCACTGTGACCTGCTTGAATCACCCATGGGATTGGTGCATGTGATCAGTGAAATTCCAGTCATTTCTTCCCAAGTGTGGTCCAGAGCTGTGGCTTCATGCCCTGGATGTCTTAGAGCACAGCTCTGTGTAATGGCATAATCTTTACTGCAGTTCCCTTCTGACAGATTGAAGCTCTCTGAGCTAGGGATTATATTGCCCATTAAGGTGATTTGCTTTTCAGAGTCTGAGAATTAAGTATGGCTTAGAAATACTACACATTTTTTTTCCCTTTTTCTTTCCTGGAGCTTAAAATTCTTTTAGAAATCAAAAATTCGGCAAAGACGACGCGAAGCAAATCCATTCTCCAGAACCGACGTGGATTCTCTTTGGCAATAACAGCTTTCTGGGATTGTTTTCTTCCCCTTGGCAGCTGGAGCTCATGGGCAGCCTGCGGGCCAGGCTGCAGAGCCTGTGGGAGGAGCGGGAGCTGGTCCTGCAGGAATCCAGGGAATGCGCCGAGCGCGGCCGGGCACTGGAGGCCACGGTGCGGGACCTGTGCAAGCCCAACGAGTTCCAGCGCTACCTGATGTTCATCGGGGACCTGGAGAAGGTGGTGAACCTCCTCCTGTGCCTGTCCAGCCGCCTGGCCCGGGTCCAGAACGCCATGAGCAGGATGGACGGCAGCACAGACGCGGAGGAGAAGGTGAGTGGCGAGCAAGCAGCATTTGGGTTGGGTTGGGTGAGCACAGGAGTGCACGGTGAGCTCTGCTGAGAGGGGAGGGGGCAACAGCACAACCCTGCGATGGTCCGAGCCACAGGGGTGGCCTCTGGACCCTCAGGCTGCTCCCTGGGGAGTAGCTCCAAACCTGGGCTTCAAGAAAACATACTTCACTTGAAGGGCTTGTTCTGGAGAGCGGGAAGAAGATGTGGTCATAACTTGAGATAAAATGCCCTGTAGTTTAACTCATCTTTGCTGGAAAATGAGGAATTGTCTCATGTCACCAGGAGATCCTTTCAAGTCTGAAAAGTCTCCTTTTTGCTAGAGAACACGAGCCAAATTTATCGCAGGAGTGATGCTTCTCTGCTGTCCTTGTTGCTTTTAGGCGTGTTTTTATCAACACAATACCTGCTGTTATCCCTCATTTGGAAATTGGGAAAGCACAGAGTTACAAAAACCGTGATTTTCTGGAGCTGTGCTGCTGCTGACCTGCAGCTCTGGAGGTTCATCACGGTTCACCAGCAGAACAGCACTAAAAAGGTCCTTCCATGCAGTGACATGGAGAGTAGGATTTACCACCTCCAAAATGTCAGTTGTGTTAATGTGAATAATTTTGAGCAGTATTTCATCCAGACTTTGGCTTTGTGGTTGGCAGGGAGGGTGTTGTTTCCCTAGTGTTTCTCTATTTATTCTCTTCCTAGGAAATACTTTTAAATCACTTACTCAGATGTTTGAATAACATGCCTGATAAAGACTTGGTTATGTCCCATCATTTTCACAACCATCTCCCACTCCCTGCATTTGCCCTGATGTCAGCAAAGGCAACAGCCTCAATCTTTGACTCCATTTTTAGGGTGTGATTGATCTGTGCTGGATTTATGGACACTGTCCTGAAATGGGACACTTTCTAGCAGTGCAAATGTGAAAATCACTACAGCTGAAAGAGACTTGGCTAAATGTGAAAGGTATAAAAATCCTGTAGAACAAGCAGGGCCTGACTCTTGTGGGTTTGTTAAGAAGCCTTTGATGAACAGTTACTCTCTACATCACAGTTATTTTATTGCACATACCTTTTAATAGAAACCACTCTATCTTTTTAATATGTCATTGGCACTCTGACCCCAAATACAAAGACGTGCCTTAAAGAGCTTCTAATTGAATGAAGACGGCTCCAGGACGCCTTAAAATGCCCAGAATGTTAAGTATATTGATGTTTTTCCTGAGGGCAGCATGGAAGAAGTGAGCCTTGCTGGGGTTTACCGTGACTTTACCTTACAAGCCACAAGAATGAGTAATTCAATCAAGAAAAAACTCAAGTGGAACACAAAGCCCACAAGAGGAAGTAATTAAATTAAATCCACTGTGGCTTCCAAATGAAGAAGTGGAGCCTGCCAGGAATGCTGAGCTCTCACAGGTGCTGCTCTGTTCTCTCTGCAGCACTCGCTGAGCGAGCGGCACGAGCTCCTGTCTCGGCAGCGGGAGGACGCCAAGGACCTGAAGGACAACCTGGATCGCAGGGAACAGGTGGTCTCTGGGATCCTGGCCAAATACCTGACAGAGCAGCAGCTCCAGGACTATCGACACTTTGTTCAGGTCAAGACCTCCTTGCTGATTGAACAGAAGGACCTCGAGGAGCAGATTAAGTTTTTCAAAGAACAGTTAGAAACTCTTGAGCAAAGTGTGCCCCTCTGACACCCACCCCAGACTCTGGTGGTTGGGACCTGTCCCTGGAAATCCACAGGAGCCCACAGCACAGGGCTCACTTTGGTGAGCTCCTCCAGCCCTGCTGGTGCCACAGCATTGGCAGGTGCTCAGATGCTCTGGGGGTGCTCCAGGCACACCCTGGACGTGTGTTCCACCTGGACAGGCCAGCTGGCAGCGTCTCACAGTGTGCAGCAAACTGCCTTTGGGACGTGACTGACAGGATGTGTTGCTCCTGTTAACTCGGAGTGTATTTGCCCTTGCTGCCTGTCCATCTGTTCCTAGATGGACACAATCTCAATAAAAGAACTGTACAGAAATTTGCCTCTTGTGGGTGGGCTGAATGTTTGAAATGAAAAGCCCTGTGGGTGCTCAGATGTGAGTGGGGGATTGCACAGAGCCATAGGAAATGTTCTGGACCATTGCAGGGAAACTCCTGCACTCATCTCTGCTGTTTAGATGTGTGACACAGTAAAACCACACTGTGATGGAAGAAAAGAATTACTGCCTTTCTTGGCAGTTGCCATCCCTGAGTCTTTCCTGGCTCTGTGCAATCCTGGTAGGCTGTTCAGAGGAGGTCAGAAAAAGAGTGGTCCTCACCAGCATCCAAGAGCCAATCTGTGATGGAGCCAGCTTAAATGAACAGTTTTGGGAATCATAAACTCTGAGCTTATTCCTGCATAGTCATTTGCAAAGTCCTTGCTGTGCTTTTGAAGGGCTTGGTTTTCAAGTAGCACGTTCAGGAGGTTGTTTTTGGGTAGTTTTCGATTGTCAGCATGCACAAGAAGCCTGAATGAGGGGGAAGAGCTCTGCTGCAGCGTGGGGCGGGTGGGAGCCCTGGAGGAGGTTACTCTGTTTCAGTGAGACTTTATATAAATCCCTTGGCAAACATCTTTTAAACAAATGTGTGTTGAGTCAAAGCAGTGATGTTGCTGTATTTAAAATCTGAGTGTGTTCTGCTTGTTTGTAAGGATTCAGAGAGAACAATATTCCATCTCAGCTACATACCTAGACCATGAATAAGGCAGCCACTAATTGAACTCAGCTTTCTTCCACAGCCAGAATAGATGTTCATTGTCCCAGGATGTTGGGCTTTACCAAGAAATGTTTTACTAGTGGTGTGTGTCCTGACTACAGTAAGTATCATCACCCCTGACAGAAGCTGTTCCTGAGGCATCTTCTCCTTTGGAATTGCATTTCACTGGGCACAAGAACTCCAGGAGCACAGAGACCAAGCTGCCATGTGGTTATTGCCTTAATACCTGGGGGAAAATGGCCAGACACTGCAGATCCTGTGAGTAGATCTGCTCAGTGGTTCTCAGAAGGCCCTAAAGATAGGCTTTTAATATGCAAATCTGAAAGCTGCCTTTTGAAAATGCCTTTAAAATAACAGAAGTGATGCTAACAGAGTCAGTGGAGAATTTTAAAACACATAAGCGATGTTAAATGAGCTGTTTGCATGGTTTGAGAAGCCTGACTCAAAGGTGCAGTTTACTCCTGTTATTCTTAGTTGAGGGAAAACCACCTGATTGGAAATAACTATTGGGTAACAGAGCTTGCCTTTAAGGGGAAGAATAGACCTACCCTGTTTAGCTTCTTATCTTTTCAGGGGTTAGTGTCATGGGAGGGTGACTGCTGCCCCTTCCACATCAGCATTCACGGGTATGCTGCAAAGAGCAACCTTAGAAAGAACTTGTGCTCTGTCTTCAAACAGTTCACATCTCTTAACTCCTGTTACTGTTAGAACTGTGAGTCCCAGGCAAAGTGGGAAATGGACACAGTGATGGCACCAGAACCTCTTTGTTGGCAAGCAGAGACCCTCTCTCTGAAGCAGTGGCAGATCTGGATTGTCAGGTGGGTCTCAACTTTGATACTGATGGTTTGTTATTGATTTATTACAAGGGTGATGGTGATGTTCACTCTGGGCTGCAGCCATGTGCAGCATTCCTGGCACACCAACATACTCAGATGTGGGCTTTTAAAATCACAGTCTGATGTGCAAATAGTGATTTACCTGCTCCCAGGTGAATGGTGAGGAGCAGCCCTGGACACCTCTGGGATTGGTGAAACACTCCTTGGTTGCTCAGTATTGTAGTCATTACCTGCAGGATGCAGAGACAGCCTGTTCCTAACGATGGGCTGCATCTCCCTCCAGCAGCATGGAGGCATGTGCTGGCCACAGACCCCTCTAGGCAGGCCAGTGAACTTACCTCTAGCTGCTGGGAGACAGGACCATGGCAGGCAGGTGGTGTCCACATCCCCTGGCTGATCTTCTTGTCTTCACATCAGTTTATATTATTCACTTAAAATCCCTTCTCTATGTAGAACTTACAAACTGAGCTTGTTTGTGGGGCTGGCAGGACTCTGTCCCAGTGATGGAGGTGCTGAATGTCCTGTGGCTCAGCCAGTTTTACACAGGGTAGTAGTGCCTGCTTTTGAATCCTCTGCCTTTTGCTGAACGTTTGGTATTAGAGCACTACTTATATCCCCACACCAATAACCATTGTTTATGTGGCAGCTTTTTCCCAACTTCAGGCCGTGTGGTTTAGAAGTCAAGATGGCCAGAAATGCAGAGCATCTTTGTGTTTACAACACTGTGATCTCACACTGCTCAGAGAGGTTTTTCTGACCCTTTATCATCAGAAGACAAATTTAAGAGCTGAACTGTAAGTAGCAGTAACTGGTGGTCTTCCTGGGGAAGCAAATCTTGCAAATGTAAGGATTTTGGAAATGAAACCCTGTGCAGTGCTTGTACATTATTACTGTTCACACTCCTCACCAGGCTCCCATTTGTGACTGGTGCAGCAATGACACCCAGTTCCCTCTGCCCACAGCCCTGGGGAGCTCTTGGCTTCCAGGGGCCTCTGGGCCTTGGCAATGCCCCCGTGCTGAGGCTGCTGAGCCACTTCAGTGTGAGCAGAGTCAGGTGTGTGTGAGATGGGGAAGGTGAGGAATGCAGGAGTGCCTGGGACTGACCCCTGGGAGAGCAGGCAGGAAATGCCCGCTGTGCCCAGCCCTGCCAGTCCTGCTGCAGCCTGAGGGCTGACACTTGAAATGCCAGGTGAGAGGTGCTGGGACCCAGCGCCACAGAGAAGGGCCCTGTGCTGAGCTGAGGTGAGGGATGACAGCTGCAGCCAGGGAAGAGCAGGAGGCTGAGGAGGAGGAGGAGGAGGAGGTGACACAGGCAATGCAGGAGCCCGGATCCTCCGTGGAGAGGCTGCTGGGATTCCAGGAGAATCTCTGCAACTCCTGTGGCCACCCACGCACGGGCAGTGTGGGGGAAGAACGGCAGCAGCTCCTGTTGTGCTGAGCAGGAGGAGGTGGCCCTGATTTGGGATAAGAAGATGCCCTGTATCGCCTGAGGCAGAGCAGGAGCCGCTGGCACAGGTGTGGAGTGGTCAGTGGAAGCAGCAGCAGCGCGTCCTGCCCATCTGTCTGGGCAGCAATTGAAAAGGGTTTAGACGTTTTAGAATTTCATTTAACACCCACTGCAATGTGTGAGAGTCACTGCTGGATCAGGAGCTGCTGTTTCAGCCTCTTGGGCACTAAATTGAAGGATCTTAATTATTTTGTTTTAAGCCTCAGCCTCATTTTCTTCACTGGTGTGTTATGCTGGGGAACTTTTGAGTGTAGAACTAATTAAGGAATGAAGGGCTGCAGGAGTTAATGCAAATGTACTCTGCAAAAGATCTATTTGGTGCTTGTGAGAGCTGCATTTAATAAGTAAAAAGATGTTCTCTCTGCTTTGGGAATTCATGGCAACCAGCTGAGTAATTTTTAAAAATAAACTCGGAGCAGAACTGCAAAACTAATCTGTGCCTGAAGGGAGCCCACGTAGACATTAAAGAATAATCAGCCTGTAGGAATCATGCAACCTCTGGGGTTCACAAAAGGCTCTCAAGAAGCAGCACATGAATTTCACTGCTAAAGGAAGAGAGGCATTAAAAGTTATCAGAGAGACTCTAAAATACCCCATCAGCCTTGAAGCTGAGTCATCTCAGAGATAAATCCACAGAGAGAGAATATGGGCTGCACAGATAGTCTTGATTCAGAGAATAAGAGACGCTTCTAAAAATGTGCATGAAGAGCCAGAGGTCTTTCTAATGGGCTCAGCACGTGGTGGAAGAGCAAGAACATCCCAAACTACCTCAAATGGGAACCACTTGGGAAACAATTCCTCCAGAGAGCCCTGCCCTGTGCCAGCTCCCAGTGCCGTGGCTGGTGCCTGCAGGACCCTCCTCTGGGTGCAGCGGCTCCCTCCTGAGCACAGGGTGAGTGTCCTGCAGTGTCCCAGGGGTGCCTGGAGAGGCACGAGCTGCTCCAGCCCGGGGCTGACCCTGCCTGCAGTGACCATCTGCCTCGTGCAGGAGGCACTGGGTGAGGACAACCAGGGCACCTGCAGGCACCTGGGCAGGGCCTGGCCCCCCAGAACCGTGACCTCGTGTCAAAGGTGGGGGACTCGGGTTCCACTCAGGGGAAATGAAATGAAGGTTGTTTGGTTTGTGTTAGCAGTAAGTCCACACTACTTGTGCTTCTCAGCTGGGGTCTCTTACCTTGTCTGGAGGGTCTCAAAGTGATGGGGATGGATGGTTTTTCTCTTGGGAAATGGGGGTTTGGGTTTGGCTGGAAACTTGTGCTCTCAGATGAAGAAAAGGAATAACACTCTAACTGGGCAAACACAGAGCAGAATTCTTACCAAGGAAGGGAAAGCTGAACGCTGGCAGCATCATTTTTGCTGTGCACATCTCTATTTTCTACCTCCCAGAAAGGGAAGAAGGCACACTAAAGCTGTGCTAATATTGACAGCATGGATCTGTTTTGCCTGGTTTGGGGTTACAAACAGGATAAGGGCTCGATGTGCTTAATGACTTGCTTTGTCTTATAAATTAGTGAAACAAACCTTGGAACTGGAATAGAAATGTTCCTCATTAGGAGGCAGTTTTTGATCTGTGCTGTCCTGCTCTGTCCCTGCAGCAAACAAACCCCACGCTGTTCATGCCCAAGCTGCACTCCGGCCAAGTCCCTGTTAACAACCCTTAATTTGGGGGTCCCACAACAGTACAAATGACTGGAGAGAGCACAAAGTGCCATGTTGCCATTTTACTCAGATTAATATGCAAATCAGGAGACAAGTGCATCCAAGGAATGTAGGTCATGGTGAAACATGAAGAGTGGGAGCAAGGGACGAGCGATGGAGAATTAGTGGACTCTGGGAAGGCCTCCTCTCCCTCCAGCTGGTGCCTGCAGCTCCTGTTGTCTATTGGAGTTACTCAGCAACTCTTCCACTGGACCTTGGGTTTGTGATGAAGCTGAAATCTCATTCAGACTCCTCTGCAGTGCAGAAGCATTTCCCAGGGCTTTCCTAGTCCAGGTGCTTCCTGCAGCACTCACAAGGGAATGGAGATGGCCAGAAACCTCTGTGAGCCTGATGCCACCCGTGCTGCCTCACCCTGCTCAAACACAGCTGGGAGGACAAAGTCTGCCCTTCTGTGCAGAGTCACAGCTTGAGGTTTGTTTGCAGAGCTCCTCAGAGAAGGTTTGTGAGCTGATACTCGTCAGGACAAAATGTCTGAGGAACAGATAAACCAAGTTACCCCCAGCAGACTGAGCCAGGGTCAGACAAACATTATCTCTGCTGATCTCCAGTGCTGCTGAACTAAAATCCAAGCTGGTTTTATTTGTGTAGGCGCTCCACTGAATGACACTGCTCATGCTGCCTCCAGCTCTAAAAACATTATCTTGATTTCAGTTGGAGTATCAGCACAGACTGTGCCTTAAGCAAGTGACCAAGGTGATTATCTCCATTTTATAGCAGGAAAACTGAGACATGGCAAGTAGGCAGGGTAGTAACCAAGGCAAAATACAGTCTGGGCTCCTGTGCCTTATCTGTGCCTTCCATTGCCAGCCTCCAGAAGCTGCCACCCCTCCCCACCACTAAACCCTCTCCTCAGGGCAGAAACAGAGCCCAGGGTGCTCAGGGTATTTTGTTTTTACCTTTCCTGCTATCAGCTTTGATGATGTGGAGGGCAGCTCCCAGCTCTGGGCTGGGCCAGGAGTTCCAAAGGCTGCATGCCCAGCCCCTGGCACACTGTGGCACAGCCCCTGCCAGGGTGCTGAGGGGGCCACAGTCGCCCCCCAGCTCTTGCCTGTGAAGGCATCCTGGCTAAACTCCATGGCTCTCATTCACTCAGGTGAAAATTCCACTGCGTTCAGCCAGACTGGGGCTTGACAGTGAAATTAAGGAGACTCAGTCAAGCTGAGGGATTCATAAAACAGTCCTGGCCTCAGTCTCAGGTAGGAAAACACTCCCATGATCACTGACCATCCTGCAGAGTCCCTTCCACAGTGTAAATGGCAACACGGGAAACCAAAACCCAGCCAGGCTGACAGGCTGGTGTCACTTCAAACCAAAGGCACTGTATGTATTTTCAGGATTACAGCAGTGCATTCTCAACACCTCAGTATCTGTCTGCACCTGAAGTTGTACTGCTCTGGGTACACTAATCCCAGCCTGCCTACAGACTATCTTTGCCTTCACCTGCTCAACAAGGAAGAGGAATGAGCTGAGTCACAGCACAAACTTGTTGGCAGAGCCTGAGCCCAGCCCTCCCCACCTACAGCACCGACCTGGAGTGCCCCACCTTTGTGTCCCAACCCTCGAGCCAAGCCTGGAGCGCTCCCTGGGCAGTGCTGGGAGGGCTCCTGCTGCTGGGCATTCTCCTGTCACACCAGCTCATCCCACGGTGCCTCTGAGGAAGGAAAAGTGCAGAGTTTCCTTGATGATACGTGTTGTAATGAAGTCTTATATCAACTGTGACTTCTTTGACTGAACACAGGAGCAATGAAACCTTCTCCCTGTTTCCTGGAGATGAAGTCACAACCACGCTCTACAGGTTAGTCAGCTGGGCTTTTTTAGACACAAACCACTCCATCCTTACACCCTGCCTCCAGCTCGAGTAAGCTTTATTCAGAGGGAGCACTGAAAGTTCAGTGACGTTGTTTGAACAGGTATCAAGCCCACAGCCATAACTAGTGAACAAACTTCCCCGAGGCAAACTGGAGAGTGTTTGCAATTCCCACAGAGACAAACACTAGCCCTGCCAGTGCCTCAGAGGTAACAGGAATGCACACACATGCTTCTGTGTTCCAGGAAATACAGAACAAAGTGGTTCGTGTCCATACACTTAGAAAGACACTTGAAAACAGAGCCCTTTTCTCCATGGGCTCTGTGGGCTGACACAGTGCAGCACAAATCAAAGGACCATGCCGGTCAGCAGTCACACCAACAGCTACGCAGCAAATTGGATTTTATTTTTTTTAAACCCTACTCCAGATATAGAAGTCATGAGGTGCTTGATCATTAACCTTTGCTTAACAACTTAATGAGTTCAATACAGAAGCAGACCGGTGCAGAATAATCCAGCCTCTTCCTAGAACAGCTGCCCCAGAGCCCAGCTCTGATCACGCTCCCCACCCACAGCACCAAGTCCAGGGACTGCAGGGAGGGCACTCAAGGAGGGCAGTGCCTCCACCTGCAGTCCTACACCATTCCTTGCTGAGCATTTGGCACGAGCCAGTTATACCCAGTTACAAGTACCAGGCTTAATTCAAGGCAGAAAAACCCCACATTCCTGAAGTCACTGACTTGGACAGAAAGGTAAAGCATGCAAACAAGTGTTTCTGTGTGCAAACCAACACACCTGATGGGGCTGCAAAGCAGA